AATAGGTTTCATACCAACCAAAGCACGGTGGCGGGACTTGCCGTAGGCAGCTGGATAGGAGGAGCACGGGTTCGCCGATGTGTCTTCGATGTTCAATGAAGCCGAGGAGGAGTCGGAGGAGAAGGACGGGGAAAAGGCAGAGGAGGACGAGGAGGACGAGGACGATACACGGCGCGGCCGAGGAGGAGGCCGAGGAGGAGCTGGAAGAGACGGAGCAGGCGGCCGAGGACGAGGACGGTGAGGAGGCCGCCAAGGCGGGGCGGGAATAGCGCCGAATACGACGTTGTCAACGTCGCCGCCGATGCCGCCTTCGTCCTGCTCCCTCAATATCCGTCCGATTGGCATGTCCGAGAGAACGCGTTTCACGGGCGCTTGTCTTGGGAACATTCGGCGGCGCGTTTCGAACCCAGGGGGGGGGGCCCTCCCCAACACTCGGCGCCCTCGATCAGAACCAGGGAGACTCCCCTCCCCTCTTCCCTCTTACCCGCACCCGTCCCCAACCCGCCCTCCCTCCCAAGGGGGGTGGTGGTTGAACCCCCCCCCGGGAAAGGAGTAGGGACCCTAACTCCCCCAATATTTTCTCGTCCGGCTTCCCAAGAAAGGGCTCGAACCCCCCCTCATCCCTCGGTGCCAGTGCTGGCGCCTGCGCTGGCGGCGGCTGGCAGCACCAACGGCAAAACGCAGCGACGATGACCAGAGAGAGCCCAGAGGCCGCAGCGGGAAAATACAAATCGCCATATCGAGCCCTCGCTCCCCAAAAGCCACCGGGGGCCCTTACGAAGTTCCAGGAGACGCCCAAAAGGCACCCAGGAGCCCTCACACATGCTCCCCAGACACCCCCGAGACCCCTCTGACGAGACCCCAAGAGGCATCCATTAGAACTGTGACCCAAAGCAGAGACACGATGGCGGGAAGGCCCAAAGGCCACACCACCACCACCAGCCACCACACCACCACCACCACCACCACCACCACCACCGCAACAACCACCACCACCACCAGCTCAACCACCACCACAACCGCCACCACCACTACAACCGCCACCACCACCACCAACACCCACCACCACCACCACCACCACAACCACCATCATAAACCACCACACTACCACCACCACCACCGCCACCACAACCCACCACCACCACAACCCACCACCACCACCACCACGTACCACCACACCACAACCACCGCAGCCACCACCGCCACCACCACCACCACCCACCACCCACCACCACCACCACCACCACCACCACAACCACCAGCACCAGCACCAGCACCACCACCACAAACCACCACGCCACCACCACCACCACCGCCACCACCACCACAACCACCCACACCACCAACACCAGAAACCACCACACGACCACCAACACCACAGCCACCACTACCATCACCACAAGAGCAAATCACAACCACCACCACAACAGCCGACCACCACTATCACCACCACCACCACCACCACCACCACAACCCACCACACCACCACCAACGCCACAATCACCACCACCAGTATCACCACCACAATCCACCACCACCACAACTCACTACACCACCACCACCACGTACCACAACACCACCACACCACCACACCACCACCACGTACCACAACACCACCACAACACCACCACGTACCACAACACCACCACCACCACCACCACCACAAAACCATCACACACCACACCCCACTACACCCACCACCCCACCCCCCCCCAAAACACCACCACCACCACCCCACACACCACCACCACCACCCACCACCACACCACCCCAACGCCAACAACCACAACCTTCCACAACACCGCCACAACCTGCCCCCACCATCACTACCGCCATCCCCCCACCACCACCCACCACCACAACAAAACACAACACAACCACCACCACCACAACCTGCCACCACCACACCACCGCCGCCACCATCACCACCAACACCACAAACCACCACACTACAACAACCACTACCACCGACGCCACCACCACCACCACAAACACCACCAACACAAACCACCACACCACCACCATCACCACCACAACCACCAGCACCACCCCCACCACCTTCACCAACACCCACCACCACAACCACCACCACCACCACTTCAAAACCACCACCACCACAACCACCACCGCCGCCGCCACCACCACCACCACCACAACCCACCACCCCCACCACAACCCACCTCTGGCCACAACCACTTCCACCACCAGAACCGCCACGACAAACCACCACACCACCACCGCCACCACCACCACCACCACAACCCACCACAACTACCACCACCACACAAACCATCCCACAACCACCTAACCACCACCACACCACCACCACCACACCACCACCACCACCACCACCACACCACCACACTAACCACCACCACACCACCACCACTACCACCACCACCACCACCACCACCACCACCACCTCAGAGAGGCCCCAAGAGACGCCGGCGCCGCCGCCGCCAGCCGCTGCTGCCGACGCCAACGCTGGCCCGAGGAGAGGGAGAGAGGAAAAGTAGGGGAGGAGGGAGGAGAGGGGGAAGGGGGGTTCAACCCCCCTCTCCTCCGTCACGGGAGAGGGGGAGGGGGGGTCGAACCCCCCCCTTCAATCCGGAAGCGGCGGGGGCTCGGGTTCCAAACGCCCCCCCGCCCCCTCCAAGCGCCCACAGAACGCGCTCTTTCGCATGTCCATGAGCGCCTTCCGACGAAGACTTGGCGCCGCGCAAATTGCCAGACCACTGCCCCCGAAGCTGGGTGGCCCGACTCTCGGGCACAGAATTGCGAGGGTAGCAGCAGCAAGAACCCGCCGCCGCTTGCGGGCCTCATCGGCCCCGGCGGCGTCGCCGCCCGCGCCCGGCTGCCCAAGCATCGGCCCCGCAACTGCGCCGGGCGCGGGCGCAGGTGCCGCAGGAGCCTCCTCTTCCTGCTCATCCTTGCACCTCCTGCTCTCTCCTCTTTCCTCGTTTTCCTTCTCCTCCTCCTGATCGTCCTCCTCCTCCTCCTCCTCCTCCTCCTCTTCCTCCTCCTCCTCCTCCTCCTCCTCCTCCTCCTCCTCTCCTCCTCCCCTCCTGATCCTCCTCCTCCTCCTCCTTTTTCCTGATCCTCCTCCTCCTCCTCCTCCTCCTCCTCCTCCATTCCTTTTCCATATAGATAACTTCGCCCTGTCGCACCCCGAGGCCAGTTTTGAGGGCCGGCCGGGCGTTTCGCCTGAGACTTCCTCACAATGTATGACTCTGAAGCTCAAAAAGTGGCAACAGTTTCACAGATGGAGGGCGGGTGGTTTTCAAAATGTGGCTCTCGCCTTAGCGCCGCGCACATTCCTTGAAAAACATGCAAGAGTTTCACGGATTGAGCTTCCTCCTCCTCCTCCTCCTCCTCCTCCTCCTCCTCCTCCTCCTCCTCCTCCTCCTCCTCCCTCTCACTTCTTTTCCTCGTCCTCCTCTTCCCCCCTCTCACTCCTTCTTCCAACCATTCTAGCTCAGGCGGGGACCTGAGCTTGCATACACAATACGCACTTCAGAGCGGCTCGTGTCTGCGAGCCAATCGCGAACTGCCAGGACCCCTCTCACGCACATGGGCTACGGACGTCAGTCGGGTAATGATCAATGAAAGTGGTTTGATGACACGCTGGTAGCCCTGGCGGAGGCTATGTGCCAACTATGTGTTACGTGGGGCATGGCTACAGCATGTTGATGCCCGTGCTGACCCCGTCCAAACCCTTCGTCGGCTGTGATATAGTGCTCGAGCTCGGCAGCAGCTGGTGGGATGGTTACTTCCAGCGGTGCGGCGGAGTGCTAAAGGATATCGGTTTCGCCGTCGACGCTACGGACCTGGGTGGACCTTGAAAAGGCTGAGACTGCCCAGCGGAGGAAACCCACGGCAGGCCTGGCAGCATGCCGCGCGGGATCCCGCTCGGCGGAATCGCTGGAGGAGCTCACGTTCGACTGCCGTTGGTGGGATGGTTACTTCCAATGGGAGACACTGCCCAACGGAAACAACCCGCAAGGGGGCCTCGGCACCCGTGCGGGAGCCCGCTCCGCGGAATCGCTGGAGGGAAACCCGGGTTCACGTTCGTCCGTTGGTGGGTTGGGTACTTTCAGCGGTGCTGCAGCCACTCCCATCTGGGACGGGCACTTCCATGTGTGCGACAGCGACCTCCGCGGGGCAGCTGGCTGGTGGTGCGTGCGCTGACAATCAGTTGCCGGTGAAGGGAGGTGGAGCGGACAGACCTCGACCGCGTGGTGGCTTTGCTGACAGAGGAGGAGTCGGGAGTGACGCATCTGGTGGAAAAGGTGAACCTGAAATCCTGCGCACAGGCACCGCCAACACCAACTCCTGGACGACGTGCCAAGCCCTTCTCGAGTGGGGCAAGGAACAATGCATCGAGTACGACGGGCTGTGCGTGCATCCTGGGTGTACTCTCGGGTCGGGCGAGAAGGGGGGATAGCAAAGGGGGGGGTGAGAATCAGCCCACGTAGCTGATCTTCTTGGCGCCGGAGGCGGCTATGTATCGAGGAATGGGCCCTCGGTGGGGCCGAAACCAGCTGCATGCAGCAAATTTCGTACCCCCCCCTTTCCCAATCCCCCCCTTTCGTCTGGCCCGATACTCTGGTCCTCCTCTCCTCCTCCTTCCGTGCTCCGCACGATACGCGTTGCGCCGAGGATGGTGGTCTGCCTCACGAGCACGGAGCAGGGAGGCCAGCCCGTTCTGCCCGCGCGGGCAGCCAACAGCAATTCGCCGGCCCAACGGGCCAGAGGCGTGCTAAGATCTCGGGCAACTGGTTAACAATATTTCTAATTCGCGCGGGCGCGGGGCGGCCCCT